TAGTGACTTTGTTTGCCTGAGTTGTATTTGCTTTGTAAACATTCTTTATCTGAGGTTTGCCATCCAAGATAAGAACATTCCTGCAATTACAACTCTACAAATGTCCACAGGCATCACACAGGCTGACCCCTGACTTATCTAGTAACCTTGAAAAAGTTTTCGGTGATGTGGTAGTGACTTATTTATTTATTTATTTATTTGATTTGCCAATTGTTTACAAGATAATAAGTATAAGTGTATACATAGTTGTGAATACATGAAATGGGTACATATAAGAAAAATAAAAGAATAAGAGAAACAATAGGACAGGGATGGTAGGCACGTTGGTGCGCTTATGCACGCCCCCTACAGACCTCTTAGGAAAGGGGTGAGGTCAATAGTAGACAGTCTAAGGTTAAAGTTTTTGGGGTTTGGGGAAGAAACTACAGTGTCGGGTAGAGTATTCCAGACATTGACCACTCTATTGCTGAAGTCGTATTTCCTGCAATCAAGGTTGGTGCGGTTAACTTTGAGTTTGTATCTATTGTGTGCTCTTGTGTTGTTATGGTTGAAGCTGAAGTATTCATTGACAGGTAGGACATTGCAATGTATGATTTTATATACCATGTTTAAGTCAGACCGAAGACGGCGTAATTCAAGGTTTTCTAGTTCTAGAATTTCAAGTCTGGTGGCATAAGGTATTCTACAACGAGTAGAGGAGTGGAGAACTCTTCTTGTGAAATATTTCTGGACTTTCTCAATTGTGCTAATATCAGATACGTAATGTGGGTTCCAGACTGATGAACTGTATTCGAGTATTGGTCTAGCAAATGTTTTGTATGCTCTGGTTAGTAGTGTGATATTACCAGAGAAAAAGCTACGTAGGATTAGGTTAACAACTCTTAATGCCTTTTTGGCTATGTAGTTGCAGTGGGCTCTAGCACTTAGATCATTAGAGGTGAGTATTCCAAGGTCCTTTACAGAGCTTGGGTCATCAACAAGATCTTGACTATTCAGCTTGTATTTTATTTTCTGATTTTTTTTGTCAATATGTAAGACAGAGCATTTATTTGTTGAGATTTGAAGTTGCCATTTGTTTGACCATTCTGATACATAGTCAAGATCTTTTTGTAGGGTAGCAGTATTGTCTGTGGTATTGAACAGCTTTACATCATCAGCGAAGAGAACGCAATTGCTCTTAATATGATCACAGAGGTCATTTATGTAGAGTATGAAGAGAGTTGGTCCTAGAACACTGCCTTGGGGGACACCACTATTGACAGGTACTGGATTTGATAGGACGCTCCCAATTTTGACCATTTGTTGTCTGTTTGACAGGAATGCTTCTATCCAGTTATTCAGTTGTCCAGAGATACCATAGGATTTTATTTTTAGGAGTAGTTTGTCGTGTACCACTGAATCAAAGGCTTTACAGAAGTCTATGTAGATTGCGTCTATTGCTTTGCCCTGGTCGAGTTGTGTCGTCCATATGTTTTTGCAGTGTAAGAGTTGCAGATTACAGGATAGTTTTTTTCTGAAACCAAATTGTTTATTGGAGAGTAGGTTATTTATAATTATTTACATTTATTTTATATTTATTTACACAAGTTATACTTGTGTAAAGGAAAACACTAAAAACCAGTCCTCTATATCATCTTTATTTAAAAACTTGTTCCTAAACAGAACTTAACTGAACTTAACAAAATATTGAGAGAATGAATTTCCATTTCCCCTTGAATTGTAACAGTTTGGCTTGTGTTTTGATTATAAATACAAATGATAAAAATACAAGTATCTCTGACCTGTCTAGAAATTACAATACTGTGCCCTAATATGTGATTCATGTCCGTATTATAAACTCAGTGACTACTATAATCTATTCATTAATTTGTTTCAGCAAGATGATAATTGTAAATGTGAGGGGGGAAATCAGCATAGATTATCTCGTGGTTGTAGAATTCACTGAGCTGTCCACAGCCTTTTGCACAGGATGAGTAGCCTTCTCAGTTTGTAAACTGCATTTCTTTAAAAGGCTTTTTTTGTTTTTTTTGCTCTTTAGCTTTTATAGGAGTAGGTATGGGAGGTTTGGAATTTATTTCAAAAAATAAAGAGAAACAATAAAACAAACACATCAAGTCTAATTTAGGCTTAATTTACTTACCTGGATTATTATTATTTTTTTAAAAAATACTATTCAAAACTACACTACCATAATTTGGGGAAAGCCCAGATGTCATAAAAAAGAATGGTAGATGCTTCAGTTAATAGATTGCTGACCTATGCTTCAAGATCTAGTGTGATACTTTACAGAAATTTTGCAAATGAATATTTTTAAAAAATAGATAAAAACACTGCATTTACTAGTTACTGTAGTAACTTATACAAACTACTGCTTATTTCAAAGTTCTACAATTTGTATTTGCCCAGTTTTATTTGAACTGCACTGCAAATATGATTTAAATACAGCTTTATAGATGAATTCATGAAAATATGCTCCTGTATTGAGGGCTTGGGGAAAGGGTTACTTACAAAGCTTCAGCTGGATTGTCCATAAAGGGTTGTTTCTTGCCTTATTCTCCTATTTGTGAGCAATGTGAGTTTATTGGCATTTGTTTCTTGAAGAGACAAGTAAAGGACTGATTATTATTGCTTGCGACCCAGTTAGAAGCTCAAGCCCAGCTTCTAATTAGAAGTTCAACCCCAGCTAGAAGCTCTAGCCAATTCATCTATAAAGTAGGAGAAATATCAATTTTTCAAAGGAGAAGTGTGTGTGGTCAGGAATATGTGTGGTCAGGACATGAAGATCATTTTCTTCCTACATTTAACCTACATTTAAAATGGAATTTAAATTCCATTTTATCCCTAGCCTTGTTCTGATTCTACAAGTGAGTTATTTTCGTATAGTTTATGAGCACCCAAAGTAAGTACAAGGGGAAGAATTTCCTATGGCTGCATTTTAAATGAGCAATCAAAAAGAAGACATGCTATTGAATTAATAGCATAAAATTTGCAGAAGAAGCCAGGTTTAGGTACAGAACTTTCCATCTATAAGATACACGTTAATGAGTAAAACAGAAAAGCAGAATTGGAATACATGAGTCTCCCAAGACATTCAAGATAAAAGAACCTGGCTAGTAACTTCACTTTTCTTGTCCTTGACCAATGATCAAAGAAATAGGTAAAGAAGCTGACCATAAAGACCAGCAAAGCTTGAGTTAAAGGTCTTTTGTAGATTAATGCCAAGAAAACAGAGATATATTCCAGCAGCAATCCATTTGTGCAGTATGTGATAAAACTGTGCTGCAAACATAATTTCTCATCTCAGTCAAAACATGTCAAGCCAGGCCAGCCTTGAAGTTTCAGAAAAGAATTTCTCCTCCCCGCAATACTTTGCCTAATCTCTCCAAGGACACTTACTTTATTATTTCTAAACTATACTGTTATAATTATATGGTACTCAGTTTTCAATGTCATTGAGACAGTCTGGTCTTTGTTCAGGGTCTACTGATCCCACAATCTGTAAAAGAAGCAACTTGCCCCAGTTAACTGATGGGTCCAAGTCATATCTACAGATCATAACTTCTTGGTGTTCTGTCACCAAACAAATAAGGAGCCACTGATTTAATATAAAATCTATAGCATGAAAAGATCTGCATGACCAAATTTTGGAAATTTATATTCACAATGTCTTAAATTCACAATGAAGAAATCCAAGACATTTGATTGCAAGAAGCACAAATCAACCTATTCTTAATATGGTTCATAATCTAATGTGAACTATAACTATTGAAATATCACTCAACCTGTGTCAACTGTCAGTTGATAGCCTCTCTTCCATAGATTCCACATACAAAAGAAAAACATAAGAAATCTACTTTAACTGCACATCACAGTGATTTTTGAGGTTTGATCTAGCAGCAGTCCTGTATCAACATTCTTGCTTTTTGTTTAACTGGACATCCTAATTCTACACATTTTTTAACTCCCATACTATGCACGATTTAATAATGACCATTTTAAAGCCCATGGCCTGCTTGTAATTTACTAGATCCAAATTTCATGCCCTAGCATCCTAAGACTATGTTGCAAAATACCAATGGCTTTTTTTAAAGTGATAAAACTGGAACATGGGGATCTTTGGGCATTTTTTTCTCTCATACTATATTCCCATATCTCAAACCTTCAAACTAACCTGAAATTGCTTGTTTAGGAATTTGGATAATTGAGAGTGGAAGGTCTCTCCCCACACATATGCAAATAATTTGAAATGTGCTCCACAGATAGCTATTTAGATTATTTCTCTGTGTTGATGTGGAGGAGAAGTTTGCCTCTTGGAGGTGTCCTACTTCACCAGCATCCCTAAAACCTTGTGGGGGGGGGGAATAACTGAAACAAATTTAGTCCCTTCCCTTACATCACCAAAAGGTTTCTTATAGTCCCCTGGAAGGTCAGGGGCTAAACTGCAATCTTGGCTGGTTTGTCCCAAGTTGTCCTGAGTAAAGAGCATCACACATGCTAGTTTATTCTCATATGCTCCATTCCTTTGATCATTCTCATTGCATTTCATTGCTCTTTATTGACATATCCTCCTTTCTTTGGGGGCAATCAGAATTATATACAGGCTTCCAAGCGTGACATAAAGCGCTTCCAAGAGACATAAAGCCCATGAGAAAGGACATCTAGGACATTCAAAAGCATGACTATAAAGCAGCAGGTATCGCAGCTATATACCAGGTAAAAGCAAACCCATCTTTGTGTCTTGAAGTATCTGCTGTAAGCTAAAATCAAGGTCAGATATTCAAGCTAGAAGAGCCAGAAGCCATGAGGGGAAGTAAGCAAGATATACTTAAAAGTTATGGTAACTGCAGCACAGCACGGGAGGAATTGACTAATTTTTCCAGTACCTAAGTTCTGAACAAAAGACATGCATCTGAATCTACCTAGTATCAAGTTTTTGTATATAACTAAGTGAAGTGAAGAAGGGATATATTTTGTATATAACTAAGTGAAGTGCCTCTGTCTGGGCCAAACTTTATCCAATGCTCTTATGAAATGCCTTGGCCAAACCTGTTTGACTGTGAGATTGCACATACAAATGGAGTATGCTTTGCATAAGAAAATCAACAGTTTTATTGTTACTCTGCTTTCGCTCAGGAATGGCACATCTTTATTTAAAGAACTTTTAGTCGATCTTCAAGATGTCTTCACGTGTCCCAAAAGTGCTTTTCCAAAACTTCTGAAGAAACTTCTTGGATGAGAACTGAAACATTTTCAAGGAAAAAAACAAGAAAGTCCAGTTGCCTTTTGGAAAAGCATCTTTGGGATAACCATTACCTGAATGATTGATAATCTCCATAGACACAATGTCTGCTACCTATTAATACATGTCACCTATTGTAACTTTTCTCTTTTATTGTATCCCTCCTCTTCTGGCAGCACCCAGATTAAGAGCCAGGGAGAGAGGCCGAGGCACTCTGTTCTGTACAGGGCAGTGAGTGAAATGTGTTAAGACTATAAGCGAGACATATTCTATATCATCCAGATTTTTGTAACACACAAACATTCGCTCAAAGCATTCTAATTACATTTTGCAAAGTCTGCATAGTGTTTAAATGATACAAAATTGTATACTTTCTCTAAGTTTACCCAACCCATCCTGTATTAGCAAATCCTGTACTAAATCACAGAAAATCGATTTCAGTACCTTCTTTGGCTTTTGAGATTTCAGCAAGCATTGTCCAAGCCACAATCTGTGTCCAGTATGATATTCTTCTCTTTTACTGCCTCTTACACAATTACAGTTCTTGCACACAGCAGCGGCATAAAACACTACCAATTGCTTCAATACTTTCCAAGTTCATGTGCCTATTTCCAGCTCAATTCCATTTTCAAGCTTTTTTTCATATCCTTTTTTAAGGAAAAATATATTTTCTTCTCTTTCACAGACAAACTCCATTAAAAAACAACAACACACAACCTAGAACATTTACAAGATAAATAACTTTTTCAGTCTTTACCAATCCAAAACACAGCACCATGAATGAGTTTATGTGGCAGACCTGGTCAGATCCCCATTTCTCTCTCATCTGTCCTTGGACGGTTGATTTGAGTCCAGCTGTGTTATTGAAGGAAAGGTGAAGTGGCTTCAGTTCTGGGTATAATTTGGAGAGGGTCACGTGGCGGGGGGAGGGGTGGTCTATAGCATTTGAAGGCATCACTATGAAGTGGTTGCTTCTTGAAGAAAGCAGTGGATTTCTTGGAAGGAAGGCCGAGCTTTGGTATCTCGTCTCCAACAGTTGAGCATTAGCTTATATACAGGATCAGGGCAAAATGGAGGCTGTGGAAGGTAAGTCTGAGAGGGGAGAGGGAGAGAAAAGTGAATATTGAAGGAAGGCAGAGCAATTCCTTCTTAAAAAAAACATTAAAACCTCTTCTGTTCATATTCTGTTCATTTAAGGGATGTTAGTTGCATATGTGATTCATAGTAGATGATCTCATTTATTTTATGATGGTGATTTATTTAGCACATTTGCATCTCACCCTTTCTCCACAGAGTTCAGTTAGTTTGTAAGATGCTACCTCTCTCTATTCTTAAAACAACAGAGTGAAATAAACGTGGGTTAAAAGTGATTTTATCAACACATTGCCCAGCAATATTTCTTTTTCTGAGTTAAATACTGGTCTGCTCTGCAGAATCAAGCTTGGGCAAGACACTGTTTCTTGAAAGCAAGAATGCATAATGTTACTATCTACCCAACCTGAGCCAACACAGAAGGAAACTTCCACTGCTCAATCTCTACCGTTAGACATCAAAAGTAGTGTGTTTGACTTGCACTAGCACAAGTGGTGCTCTCTGGTTTTCCTATTGTGCCTCATTACATTGCAGGCAAACACATTCAGTCCACCTCCCATTGACACTGCTTTACGTGGCCCTTTTTTTAAAACAGATTTTTAAAAACTGGACTTTTGTTGTTGTTATTAACTCTTCAATGAAAGGTGGTCATTTCTCCTTTCTTTTTAACCTTGGGGATTTGACAAGAGTTGTGCTAGTTTTTCCTTCTAGCCCAGGTGACAGGAAGTATGGTAAAATTGGTGGATTTTTCCCTTTTTTTAACCAGTCAGTGAATGCAGCATACAAAAATGTGTCAAAATAACATGAGTCAAAAAGCATGCCTACTCAAGCAAATAAAGTGAACATAAATTATTCATAGCTAGATACTGAATTGCATATTAAAACACAGGAGGTCCTCACTTAATGCCAACTCACTCAGCACCCAGGTCACCATTGCAACCTTGCAGCATCCTCCGGTTACATGGTCACCATTTGCGACCTTCACTGCTACCTCCAACAAGAAAAGCCTGTGGGGAAATTGGCATGAGGATGCAAATGGTGACCATGAGATGTTGTGCTTAACAACATCACACAATTCCTTAACAACAGTAATTGTAAAGAACTAGAACTGCTGTTGCTAAATGGGGTGATCATGTGACATCAGGCTTCATCAGACCACATCACTTAGCAATTGAAATTCTGGTCCCAATTACCATTGTTAAGTAAGGGTTACCTGTATAGTGTCCCCAAAGATCAAATGATGTTTCCATTTTCTGAGTCTGCAAAAATCTATCTAAAATATTCATATATTTTCATACCTGTCGTCCCTGATTTCTGAAAAATTCTCCGGTGTTCTCAATTACTTGTTCATCAGATAGTTGAGAATATGGTTGCTCTCGGCAAAATGTGAAGGTTTCCCAGAGTGTAACACCAAAAGCCCACACGTCACTTGCAGTTGTGAATTTTCCCTGGTTGGAGAGGGGAGAAAATCAAAAACACATAGCTAATCAGAGATTCATGGTTTCCATAAGAATTAAGCAGCTCCAAGGATTTTCTATTTCAATGTTTCTGGAAATTGGAATAGATCTATTCATCTTTCAATCCCCATCTGGAACAGGGAGGGAGGAAAGAAGAACAAAGAATGGGGGAGGGGAAGAAGGAAGGAAAGAAGGAAGGAAGGAAAATTTTCTGACATTCACTGCCCCTTTCCCACAAGGAAACTTAATGGGAAGTTGGAAGTCACTCCCACTGATTATTATTTTTTAAATGCCTGTGATCGTTTTGTTTCTAGGTCAGGAAATATCTTTGAAATGGTGGCCCAACAAGTCATGGGTTGTCTAGTCCATGATTAAATGTGCATTAGGATAAGAGTGAAAATGCTACTTTAATACTGGCACAGATAAATATGGTCTAAAGATATCTCAAGCATGTGCTGGTGATGAGATAAAGGCAATATCATGAGATCAAAAAAGAAAAAAAAGATGCTTAGCGTTTTTACATGAAAGTAGGGGTAGGCCCTGTTGTCAGATTAGTGGGCAGTTATTTCATGGCTATCGCTAAAAGCTCCACTAATCTCTAGTCATAACAGCAAGTGCAACATGCTCACCAAAAGAATGCTTTCCCAGGACATCCAGCGAATAGGGAGCACTGCCCGGCCCTGGATTCTGTAGTAGTCCCCACTGTAGAGGTTGCGGCTCATGCCAAAGTCTGCTATCTTGATAGTGTAATTCTTCCCCACCAGACAGTTGCGTGTAGCCAAGTCTCGATGAACAAAATTCAGGGAGGAAAGATACTTCATGCCGGAAGCAATCTGGATAGCTATTAATTTCAGGTTGGCATAACTGAATGACAGAAGAAAAAGAAACAGAAATAGGTCCTTTAGTAATTGTCAGCAGTCTTAAAGAGGAAACATGCCGTGTACACCGTCAGTTACCCAGGACAAAAGAGTAGGATTTCCACTCAGAATGTTTGTCAAATCTTCTGCAGATTAAAGTAGATGATACATAAATTATTCTGTTGAAGTTCCACTCGTGTGTTTGTAAATAAATTGCAGTCCAGTCAAGATCAGAACCATCACATCTGGGGAAGAAAGAATCATTCCCACCAGGCCCTTTATATATCCCTACAATCATGATTGCCCCTTAAAAAACTTTCATGGACACACAGGTAGTCCTTGACTTATTAGTACAAGTGATCCCAAAATTTATGTTGCTAAAAGAGACATTTGTTAATTGAATTTTGCCCCATTTTACGATCTTTCTTGCACAGTTCTTAAGTGAATCACTGCAGTTGTTAAGTTAGCAACGGTTATTAAGTGAATCCGGCTTCCCTATTGGCTTTGCTTTTCAGAAGGCCACAAAAGGTGATCACATGACTCCAGGACACTGCAACAGTCTTGAACCAGTTGCCAACCATCCAAATGACCATGGTGATGCTAGTTGTAAGTATGACAAATAGTCATAAGTCAGTTTTTCAGTGCCTTTGAAATTTCAAATGGTCACTAAGTTAATAGCTGTAAGTCGAGGACTACCTGTCGTTTAAAAAAAATAGAAATCTCTCGTGGCTAGGAATGAAATTTTAATACAACAAGAAATTTAAGGAAGCTTGAGGATTCCCAGACAGATCAGGCACTATGTATTTAACAACGAAGTGAATTAAAACTTGAGTAGAACAGCATGGTACACAATTAACATATTGTCTAGTTTAATTCTGGGTGTTATGTTTCCACCATACTTAACAGTGCAACTTTTCTTTTGAAGGACAAGCAGCCATCTGGATGGGGATTTGCAATCAAACAATAAGGAATAATCTATCAAAGCTGACTTACTTTCATCATTGCCTGCATCAACTTCTAGCTCATCGTTTGCCAAACAGAAATGGGAGGCGGGTTAGTAAATTCCTAGGCAGGGGGGAAGGCTAAGGAATGCATGAGAGCCTTCTGCTGCTGGAGAGGAGATGCTCACCAAGGCCAAGTTCTTGGAGCGATCAGCCAGCTCAGAATGTTTTCCCAATACAAAAGTACTAGTGTAACTGGTGGACAATGAACTGTGGGTGGCCTAGGGGTGAAATGGGAGTTTTACCTATGTGGGATTTCACAGGAAAACTTCAGAGCTGACTTTGCTTCTGCTGTGCCTAAATGGATCTTTCAATAGTTTTACTCTTGGTAGTTCCTACGTGCTAGGAATTTCTTTTTTTGGATGTGACAAATGGAACAGTTGATACAATCTTCCTTTCCTCTGGCTATTAGCAGAGGTCAAATAAGAAGAGAGTGAAGAAATTTATAAAAGCATCCCCAAGTCAGAATCTTCTAATGTGTTGTATCTCCATTGTCAAAATGTAGATGTAAGCTTAATTATACAGAAAATTCATGACGCATGGAGTCATATGCCAAGGCCACTGAAAGTTGTGGAAAGGAAAAGTCTTCTCTTCCCAAAGCCAAGGAAAAATAAGTAGTAGAGATAATTAAAACATATTTGGCTCTAACTAAAGCCTCAAAAAACCCTGCAACACTCTTATCATAAACACATATTCCCAAGCTAAGATAGGTTTTCAACTGAAAAGTGGAAGAGGCCTAGCTCACAAGAAAAACTGTACAGGGTAGAATTGAGGAAGTCCTTATTTTCTACCTGACAGGAGGAGTGGAACTCTCCGATAAGTTTTGGGGTTCCTGACGAGACAGAAACTGGTTGAGATCACCATTTTCCATGTACTCAGTAATCATGCAGAGAGGGTCATCAGTGATGCACACAGCCAGCAACCGGATTATATTGGGGTCCTTCAGTTTGGACATAATCTTAATCTCTTTGAGGAAGTCATTCCTGCCAGAAACAAAGTCATGCAAAGGTGAAATTAGTGAACTATGTTGTTTTCAAGAAAATTTGCTAGTATGGGGTAGAAGCCAATAACCTCCTATAAATATACAGTGGAACCTCTGGTCATGAGTGAAATCTGTTCCAGGACTTCGGTCACAACCCAATTTGGTCATGACCGGAAGCAAGATTGACTGCGAATGCATGGACAAAAACAACAACAACAAAATGACACGGAAGGGAAAATTGTCGTGGCTGTGTTTGGTCGCCAACTGAAGATGCTTTTGCAACCAGATGCAAAAATTTTCCAAAATTTTTGGTTGTCATCCGATTTGGTCATGGATAGAGGTGTTCACAACCCGAGGTTCCACTGTATGTGAAATGTTTGAACATTCAAAAGCATTATGTACGAGCTATGTGTATTATTTTAATACATGACATTAATTTCCTGATTCAGTTTACCAACAATTTATTCTTTAACTGGTAACAAGCTATCACAAATCCCTTTGACTTTGCCAAGGGTGTAGCAAGAAGCAAAAAATTCAAACAGCATCTGAAACCCCAACATGAATATTAATTAACAAAGGGCACAATGCACCAAGAAGGCTTCCAGCACAAGTGCCTCTGAAATGAATGGAAGTGGCAAAACCTTTGCAATTCATCATTTCTTTTATTAGGCTATACATTATATTTGCCTTAATTGATAATAAAATCACAGGAACAGGGGGAATGGAAAATAATGTTCCCCTCAACCTCTTAAAATTATTGTACCTTTGGTAGTAACACTGTAGAAAATTAGTTGGAGATAGTGATGTGGACCCTTATTTTTCTTACATGCACAGAACTCTACTGTATATTCCCATGTAATGGCTGAGTGTACAGTACAGAAATAAGCATTTTAACCACTAGAAGCTTATACTGTGTCCTGTCTTTGATCTAGGAAACCTGGGTAGAGTGATGCTCTTTCTCATGTTCAATACACTTTAACCTTGGGATAGTCTCATCTTTGGCAAGATTAGATACTTCAAGAAAAATAAGATAAAGGTATCATAATTGCCCTTGGCAAAATCAAACCGGCAGCCCACTTGCCATCAATGTTTTGAAGTTCCCTGACAAGCAGAACGGTTACGGGTTCTTTCTTATTCTCTTCCCTGCATTTCAGAATGTTATAACCTTATTTTATCCCCAAGGGAATTGGAATAAAGCCTTAAATACTCATACTTGTGGGGTTACTACGTTATTTTTGGAGGCATCCAATCTGAAGGGTCAGTTTTGAACATTTTGTTCAATTTTGCCATGAACTAATAAAACATTTTTAACATGAAGACTTAGAAATGTCTCCTGTACTAGTTTACTGTATTTGAAATGTGATCCATTGTTTCCTTACAGACTTTTCATTATGTGATTCAATAACATCTAATGATATCTAGTCAGGTAATGAAATATCTCTGAGGAAACAGCCACAGTCACAGAAGACCTAGGACTTCTCTGTTCAACCCTGAGAACTGCAGCTGTACTCAGCCTCTTCTTCTGTTTGTTCAAAGCACCTGGCATTCTTGTTGGCATCAGCTCTCAGCATTTTCACAGCCAGTAGGACAGGCTGGGTGACACTACCATCCAGAACAGAATCCTGATCCACAAACCTCTCCATTCCTTCCACTTCACAGAGGTGAACCTAGAGAAAAAGCAATGGGCATAAGTGGTTTGATAGGTCACTCTTGTTTACATAGACAGAAGGTCTCGATTTTAAGAAAAAGGCCCATAAGATCTCATTTCCTATTCTCTGTGAAGACTAGGAATGCATCCAAAATACAATTAATTTCAGGGTCAAATATCCTTGGGAAAGTTAAGATAATCTGTTTTTCATTCCAATGTGTTTATCCTTTTATAAGAAGCCTCACAGACAAAACAATTATCTTCAAGGATGTTAAACAGAAAAGGGCAACTTGACCGTCTAGAAGAATCTGATTGGTGCCCACTCTAAATCTGAGAGATTAATGATTAATCCTTGACTTTTTTGAGCAACATAAGTGATACTGTGCAGGGCCGTCTTAACAGCATTATGGGCCCTGGGCAAAGCAGTGTACTGGGACCCCTACGACAACTACTCATAAAAATGTAAAAATGATCGATAAAATTAAACATTTATTTTATTGGCACTTCCAACAAAATCGGTGTTGAAACATTAAAAACATGCTGTGCAGCAACAACTAATCAGCATGATAAACATTTGAACAATACACGAGGCTTGAAAAACACAATAATACTCAGTAAGCCATACAGTTGCTGTACTTATATGATACAAGGTGCATTGAAGGGTTAACATACACAGATTAGTATGGAGCCCCTATGCTTGTGGAGTCCACGGGCAAGTGCCCATCAGGCCCATGCATTAAGACAGCCCTGATACTTTGGTTATCTTAATACAGACTAACTGCAATATTAAATAATATTCTCCCTTAAAATCGAAGAAACCACAGCAGGTATATCTGGTTCAAAATTCAAATCAAAACTTTATCTTTAAATTGTTTAATAGCTGCTGGTATATGATTGTTGCTATGTTGCCTTGAATATTTAATAATTGTTTTGGGGGCTTCTACAAGGAGCTCCATTGCTTCATTGCTGAAACAAGTAGAGGATTGAAAGTGAGTATCTAATAGTCATAATGTGATCAATAAACTTGCCATTTGATCATCCACTTAATCAGGGACTTAGGGCACTTTTTGGAAAAAACTAGGATTCTTTTTTAGAGCAATTATAAAGCCAAAGAGCCAGCACTATATGAAAATGTCTCTGTAGTCATGTGGCTGGCATGACTAATCGCCAAAGGTGCACGGAACACTGTTACCTTCCCACCAAAGTGATCCCTATTTTTCTACTTGCATTTTTACATGCTTTCGAACTGCTAGGTTGGCAGAAGCTGGGACAAGTAACGGGAGCACACTCCGTTGTGTGGCGCTAGGGATTTGAACCGCCAAACTGCTGACCTTTCTGATCAACAAGCTCAGCGCCTTAGCCACTGAGCCACCATGTCCTAGATGTTTCCTATGACAATACAAATATAAACTTTCAAAGCATTTATGCAGGCCTACTTGGGTTACGGAAACAGTAGCCATCAGCATAGAGAAGAAAGGGAAGATGGGTAAGAGATGAAGAAAGAAATTCTGGTTTATTGTTGGTTTACATCAACAATATCATTACTGTATAGATTAAGCCAGAGGTCTTCAAACTTGGCAACTTTAGGACTTGTGGACTTCAACTCCCAGAATTCTGGCTGGAGAATTCAGGGAGTTGAAGTCCACATGTCTTAAAGTTGCCAAGTTTGGGGACCCTTGGATTAAACAATAGTGGAGCAAGACTACAGCTTTATTTTACACCTTTTAGGATAAGGATTGATTGAGTTAGGTCTCTACAAGTTATGTTTTGATTTCCTACAGAATCTCACACATGCCATCAAGGCCAACTTAGCTTTATAAAAGATATATTTGGGAAGATGTAATATGTCTCACTAGGTGGTATAGTGTTGTACATTGATCCATAGTTGAATTTCCCTACCTGTTCTGGGCTAAAATGTCTCAGAAAAAATCCAATCCAGAAGTTTATAGTAGAAAAACTGATGTATGTAAGTCATTCATTACAGAAAAGAGACTAATAGGGTGGTAGCTGTCAGGAGGATTTGACCCCCTTGATCGAATTAAGCCATTCTTTTGGAATGTAGGAGTTATTTGTGGCAGAAAAAAGGGGGGACTATTAGAGATGCTCACAAAGCAGGATTAAATTTTAAAAATTCTGGTACAGTTATGTCTTTGCTAGGGACTTTGTTATTTTTCAGGGAAAATTTTTTTAACTTCTGAGTTCAGACTAAAGGCCCTTTGGAAAGGGATTATCTGGTGGCAGAACATAAGAATCAGCATATAGCGATGTATCAAATAGGCCAGTGATCCCCAACCTTTTTTACGCCGCGGCCCGGTACCGGCATCAGCTGGGCGCCGCCATCTTTTTTTGATGAAAATGTGCTTCCGGTGAGCTTTCTACCGGAAAAGCTCACCGGAAGCGCTGGCGCCGCCATCTTTTTTTGATGAAAACGTGCTTCCGGTGAGCTTTCTACCCGGAAAAGCTCACCGGAAGCACTTTTCATCAAAAAAAGATGGCGGCACCCAGCAAGCCAGCGGCCCGGTAGGAGTTGTTCCGTGGCCCGGTACCGGTCCGCAGACCGGTGGTTGGGGACCCCTGAAATAGGCCATTGGAAGTTTCTGTCCCAAGATTGAGGCAAGATTAAATTGTTAATAGCTGGGCTAAATTTTGCTGAGAATCAGGAAATGAAATGCCAAAACAGGCAGGCATCTTTATTTGTTACAGCTGTTGGAGCTTAGCCCAGTTCTTTAATTTTGTTTCTCCTCCCATAGAAGGTTCTTGTGACTCTGGTTTGGAGTATAAAATGTTTTGAGGGAAGAAAGATCACTATAGGTTTAATCATTCTTATATGCAAGTATTACTAGAGCTTTCACTGGGTTTTAGTTGCTGATTGAATTGGAAGGAGAAGGAAGTTTATTTTATCTAAGAGCTAAACTAATAATTTGTTGCAATACAGTAATTATTTTATAAGCATCGCTAGCTACACTTTTTCAAATTATAGGTTTAGCAGGGCTACAAAACATTGAGCAACAATCACAGATGGCTTATTACACAATACTGGACAAAAGTTGGAGGAAAGGAAAGTAAGTGCTGTAAAGACTGGCACTGTTCAGGTGAGTTAATAGTGAGGGATCCTGCCAGGAGATAGTGGTTGCTTTCTAGATTGAAAGACAAAGAGATATGTTTATGATGGAGGCAAAATCGTATAATCTAAAATGAGACTTCTTCTAATCTCAAAAATTAGTTCATTGTCTGGGTCACCAGGAATTGATCCACTGAGTATTTTCAAATCTTTTTGGTATCTAGAATCTTGTTAAGTAAGTTTTGCTCTATTTTATGACTTTTGTTGCCACATTTTTTTTTGACAAGTTTTATTCAGTTTTTCACATTAAAAACAAAAATCTCTTTTTAGTGGACAACATATTTCTGGGTCATCACCTTTACATACAAATATGACAGCAATCATACATTCATGTAATAATAATTCTATTATTACCTTTTCCATTCCACATTTTCAGTAAGGAAAGAAACAAACACATTAATTCTAGCCTCTTTCATTAATCTCAATTGAAACATCTTTTTGTTTCATTTCAATTATTTCAAATACGATCCTTTAATATTTATTTTAAAAATAAAGATAAACAATATGTGTTTGCCTAATAATAATAATAATGATAATAATAATAAAAAAGTTACCAATGTCTCTCCTTGCTTTTAATAGTCTATGTTAACTTATTAATTTAGTTGGTTCTTTAGTCTGTCATATTCCCTTTCCATTACACATTCTTTTTATAAATTCTAGATTAATACAAATTTTAACACTAAAAAAAAACAAGTATAGGTTTCCCTCCTTTTAGTGCTTTGAGTGTGACACCTCAATGATTAAAATATACCTTTATTCCCTCATCTTGATTCCCAATAAACCATTATTTTTAAGAAGTTACAATAATAATCATTACATCTTTTCATTTGGATTCCGCAGCATATTTCCCCCCTTGATTTTTAATAAGAGTTATCAGTATCTATATTACCCTATTTTCTAAATATTTTTAATTGCAGAAATATTCTTATTACCCCTTGTCACCCTGCAGAATCCCCTTTTTAATTCATCAACCATTATCTCTGAAAAAAACAATTTCTTTGCAACATTTTACTATTTCCGTATTTCTTTATTTCATGCACCTGTTTCTTACTGCTTCTCCTCCCCCTCTCTTCCCCATATCTTTTCTCATTCCAGTTTATATCCCCCTCTTTCTTAATATCTTCCTTTCCCCTTTTCTGCTGGGTCTTTCTGCCTTTCCCAACTTCACAGGTATTCCCTTTGATTGCCTTCTTAAATCTCAACTTTTTAACCTTCCTTCTTTCCCCACTTCTTTGTAGTGTTCTTTGTGTTAATTGTCTATTTAAAATGTCTTCTCCTTGAGTCGACTCCTCCTCCTCTGAAGCTCTTTCTTCTCATTCTTCAATCGCCATTTCCATTTTTTCTAACACAGAGCAAAGTGATTCGTCTCTTTCCTGTAGTAATTATCTCATATTTTTAAGTTCCATTTGTAATTCCCGAAGAGATATCATCATTACACACTCTTATATTTTATGATCATTAAAATCCACAAAAAAAAACACTTTTATTTTCCTTCTTTCTTCTTTCAATTTTCTAAAGTTCTCAGTTATTCCAGCCGAGGGTCTATACCAAAAACATCAATCAATCCCACAGTCAGTCTTTCCTTGCTTTTTTCTTTATTCTGGTTCTGCTTTCACTTTCTAAGATTCTTACTTTGTTTCAATATTTCTTTAATGTTATATCCACACAAGTTCATTCAGAAACAGGATGTTTTCCATTTTGTTTGAGTTCAAGTTTTTGTCAAAAGGTGGCACTCTCCATTATACAGAGTCTTCACCTTTTCCCCCTATTATTTTATTTAGGGTTTTTCGAACCTCAATATTCCAGCACAGTCCAGTCTCCAATTTGTAAACTTTATTATTATTATTTTTTGACAATCTTAAATCCAGCTTTATTTTATGCCTGTTTATTCCCAAAATATTTTAGTCCAATTTAGTTAAATCTTTAGTTCCAGCTTCTTCCTTTCCCGGTTCGAAGCCCCGCTTAGCTGTCAAAAATATTTTCTTATTTTTTTTCCTGTCCCTTTGTAATTTCGCAGCTCACTTTTCTTTTCTTAAAAATTCCGGGGTATTTTTGTTTAGTTGTATTGCCCAGTTGTCCCGGTTCAGATGTTATCCACCTCTTTCTTCCCTCCTGCACAAATCTTAATCCAGCTGAGTCCTCCTCTTCGGGGTGGCCATTTTAAACCACCGCTGCAGTCGTCTTTGGGGGGAAAAAGACCAAGCCCATAGGGGGAGATGCGGCTCCCCTCAACCTGGCTTGCAGCTTCCCCTTACTCCACCGCCCCTCCAAGGCAGCTTCAACCCCTAATCGTAATGATCGGGGCTCTCCAACAAAAGAGCATGGACCATAGCCGCAGAGAGTCACTATCTACGGTCCGTCAGCGAGGAGGCTCCACCTTCTTCCCCCCGTTGCCAGATTTGTTAAGTGAATGACTACAGTTGTCTAATTAGTAAGATGGTTGTTAAGTGAATCTGATTTCCCCATTGACTTTGCTTGTCAGAAGGTTGTAAAAGGGGATACACACAGCTCCAGGATACTGCAACCATCATAAATATGAGTCAGTTGTCAAGCATCCAGATGTAAATCATGTGACCATGGGGATGCTGCAACCATCATAAGTGTGAAAAATGGTCATATGTTACTTTTATTCAGTGCTGTTGTAATTTCAAATGGTCACTAAGTGAACTGTTGTAAGACTACCTGTATACAATGATTGAAAACAAAGAAATAATGAATTGCTATAGCATAAACTTTATATCAATTTTATTATTTATTTCCACCCAGATTTTGAAGATAAATCTACCGTAAAGAACCAATGGAGAAAGTTCTCACCTCCCCAAACTGTCCTTCTCCCAATTTCTCCTTGAAAGTCAACAGCTTCCTAGGGAACTCAGCCACAGCCACCTCTTTGCCATAGAGTAAGTCCATGGTGATTGCAGGGACAGAATAGGTGTTGCTGCCTGTGACTCCCTGCAAGTTCACAATATCCGCTTCTGCATAATGGGGAACCCCTTCAGCTCCATTTGGTTGAGTTGGCTTGGTGATCCCACTGCAGCCTAAGAGGAGAGAAGATTAGAGACAAGAAAATATCAGTGAAGAAGATCCTGAGCTTTGATGGCTGGTAACTCAGAATAACAGAATAACAGAGTTGGAAGGGACCTTGGAGGTCTTCTAGTCCAATCCCCCCGCTTGAGCAGGAGACCCTATACCATTCCAGACAAGTGGCTGTCCAATCTCTTCTTAAAAGCCTCCAATGATGGAGCACCCACAACTTCTGAAGGCAAGCTGTTCCACTGGTTAATTGTTCTCCCTGTTAGGAGAACAGTAAGAACAATTAACAGTGAGAACAGGAGAACTCTGGAGAGACAGCCTGCCTGATGCTGCAGAACACAAAGGACTGCCAAAAGAAGAAACTCCAGGTAAGCTATGGAGAAAAATAAACATAAATCAGACTAAGAGCTGAGGTGGAGCAGTGGCTAGAATGCAGTATTGCAGTATTGTTCGATTCTCATTGGCTCAAGATTGACTTGGCCTTCCATCCTTCTGAGGTCGGTAAAATGAGGAGCCAGATTGTTTGGGGCATAAAGCTGACTGTAAACTGCTGTAAAGCCCCGTGAAGCAATATAAAATTCTAAGTGCTAACTATGAGCTATAGTTAAGACATAGGGCTGAACTGATTCTAAATTATTCAACAAGTAAAGCTGAATTTGATAACTAGCTTTAACTGCACAAATTAAATGTTTTTTTTTCTTAATTCATGTCATTTATATTGGTTTTCTTAATGAATGGATATGGAATTATACATGGATATGAATATCATATGTTTTAATCAACCATTCCATTTAATTGGATAGCTCAGAACCATCTAGACTAGAGCAGGACTGTCACCCACTGGCCAGATGGATCACATGCTGGTCACGCCCATGCCTGGTTTAGCAAAGGGGGAAAAAGTCCCGATATGTCATGTGATGCCGCCATGACTGTGAGTTGGATACCCTGATCTAGAGATTGGATATCTGAAGAATTTCTTTTTTCCCTGTTAGCATTCTTACTTGAGGCACTTCTATGCACCTTCACATTATCTGTTATAAGATAGAAATGACCCAGGACAGGGCTTTTTAGTTGTTCATATCGCTCTTCTATCACAATCCACTTTTGCTACCATATATTCAACTTTACTGATAGTGAATCTTTTTCAAAGAATTAGAAACAGGTATGGGAGATGCTTTTCCAAAAAAAAATCCAACAACCCCAAAACCTTGGAATGTTTTTTATTTTTCCTCCAGAAATTCAGCAATGTTTGCACATATGAAAAGGCTAAAAACAGTTCTAAAATAAAATAAAAGTAACTCTAAAAAGCTTTATTTTTAAGAAAGTAAACTCTACACACAAAACCATATTCTATGTTTAATTCCCCCTCCCCCCTTCCATGGCTCCAGGGCTACTTTTGCAACTCTAGACTCACTTGCATCGTATCAAACACACCCTGACGGCTGTACCTCCCCACCCCACATCCCCCGTTGTCCTGTGACATTGTCTTCATCTTGTCCCCAGTTCATGAGTGAGACAGCCCTAAGTGATCCTCAGTTCTACTAGCGTTAAAGTATTGCTACTCCCTTAAGCTGATAGCATCCAAAACCAGCAGTAAATATATCACCCAGTACATCAGAGGACAAGGCAGATGAGCAGATGTCAGAGACACATAAAGAAATATGTCTTTTTGTCCCTGGTCAATCTTGTCTGCCATCATTTGACTATTGCCTTCCTAAAAAGTGAGACACAGCAGTGCTTAGCTTGTGGCCATCCAGATTTGCACAAGAGTGATAGAACTGCATTTTTTTAGCAGTGATTCTCCTTGTGGGGGTTTGATAACTCTGCTCTAGCTGCATGCTTGATTTCTTTCCACAGCTTTCATTGATTCATTAGTCTTATCACTGCAAATTTAAATGGTGGTCTTTCAGAACTGTGCCATAGCATAGGCCACTCAACCAGCAGTATTTGATTTGTAAGGTTAGAAACACCAGTTTAGCACAAAGCTAAAGTAGTGGAATCCTTCCCAGTGCCTTTGAACAAAATATATAGGAATCCGGAAGCCAACATGTGTTACCTATGGACAGGAAAAAACATAAGGAAGGCAAGAGAATAAAATAAAAGTGCTGATTTGTTACTCATCTCTCTTCATCATTTTCATATTTTTAAAAAAACATCATTTGTCTCAGAGTATAACAGAATGGACTGCAAAGAGATGAAACAGCCTAGAATAAATATAAAAAGAAACTTCCAGTCCAGCCTCATCAGTGCTGTGATTGGCACATGTTTCTCTTCCAGTTACATCTGGTGATAGATAGAAAAGGGATAAGCAACCCACAAGATTCGATGTAATGCTTATGTAATGCTGCACGTGTATAATCACAACAGCTTCTCTTGTGGCCAACTCAGAACAGAGAAAATGGCGATGGGATAAGAATCTAGGATGGGCTCTATCATCACCATATAATTTCAGGGATAATGAAGGATAAGTGGATAGTATTGTGTCAGTTGGGAGCAACAGCCATCAAGTCATTTAATCTCATAATATCTAGCCTAAATCAGTGGTGATAGACAGTGGTGACCAGTTCAGCCCGGTTTGGCCAAGCCGGTAGCAGCAATGAGCAGCTGCCTGCTTGAGCTCCCATACTCACCTTTATCCTCTGCTTTTGAAGTGCAGCTGCTTTGTGCAGCACAGCAGAGTGCCATGCGGCAGCTGCTGAAGCGACTGGGAGAGTGCAGGCTTGCAGGAGGTGAATTGGAACATCTCTGAGCCTGCGCAAAGTGCGTATTTGGTGCCTGTGCGCACGCAAAGTGTGTGCATGCATGCAAAGCACGCCCACCAAGCCATGCCCACTGAACTGGTGGTAAAACTTTTTGAATCCCACCACTGGCCTAAATAATCAAGGAACTTTCACTAACCTGACATTGCATATTATTTACATAGATAAAATATAGTATTTCTCTATTGCAGCTGAGAATTTCACATTTGACCTCAAGAAAAATTGCTGATTTTTTTTTAATTTGTCACATTTGTGATCAGTTTGATCTGAGAGCAACATGGATGACATTATCCCAATGTATCTTTTCCACAATCCATACAGATGTTTACATAGAGTAGGGGTCCCTAACCCCTGGGTTGTGGACCAGTACCAGTCTGCAGCCCTTTGGGAACCTGGCCACACAAGTAGTGGGTGAATGCACAAAGCTTTAATTGCACATGCATAGGATCAAGGCGGCATGTTGAAACCAGCCCCTCCCCCCCACCAATGCCTCTGCCACATCACTGCTCTGTGGAACTAGAAAGTTTGGGGTCACTGACATACAGCAACAATTATCAATTTACCAAATTTTGTTCACAGTTCTATTCTCGAGAGCCAAATTACTGTATATGATATAGCATAAAGGAATAAGCCAGCTATTGTTAACAGCCTCATCAAGTGGCAAACACAGATAATTGAAATTAAACCACACTTTCTTATTCTAGATTTTTCTAGTAGATGTGGGAATCTGTTCATAGTCTCTTTACACCTATTGCCAATCTGACCTGCCTCGTCTTCCCCTGGGATGAATTCAGGAAGCTTGCGGATCAATCGTGATGGCTCTTGATAGTCAACTCCAAGGGGGAATATGCGGTCATAAGTGGAGTTAGTTTCTTGTTCACTGGATGGAGTGGAGCTGCTGTGGTGAAACATATTGGATTCGCTAGGTAGAGAGAGACTCACAGTCATTTCATCATCCAGCATCCGGCGAGAGGCCTAGAAATCAAAAGAAAATGCATGTGATGCTCATATTCACTATAAATTGATAATGACAGAGTATATTATAGAGCAGATTCTAACATAAGGTGGCATCTCTGTTATGTAATATATATGTAAAACAACTTAGAAGCTTTCCATTGTACAGAGTTTTTAATGGGACAGGTTTCATATTTGCGTACTCTTCTGTTCACATGTGTAGGATACATGCAAACAGAAATTATGATGTAAAAGACAAAAAAATTACTTCAGTTATTACAATTAATTTTAGATGATATATTTAATATGTTTGTGTGTGTATATGTATGTGTGTGTGTGTGTATGTGTGTGTGTGTGTGTATTATACACATATATACACATACATACATACATACATACATACATACATACATACAAGTATTCTAAAAATATGAGTTCCAGGTATACTTGTAAGAAAAGAAACAGACATCTTGCGATCTCTGGAACTAAAATTATATTTATTATACTTACTAAGCTTTTGTCAGCCTCTGCTGACGTTGTCAGAGTATTAAACTACTATTACAGAGATCTAGGCCTTTATATATCATTAATCAGTTTAGCCCTTGCATGTGTAATAGGCAGGGGTGGGATTCAAATTTTTTAACAACCGGTTCTGTGGGCATGGCTTAGTTGGTGGGCATGGCTTGGTGGGCATGTTATTGGCTGGGCATGGCCAACTCACATTGAGGCACGCATCTCCTCGCCTGGCCTCTCATGACTGTGGGGATGCTGCAACAGTTGTAAGTGTGAAAAATGGTCATCAGTCACTTTTTTCAGTACCATTGTAACTTTGAATGATCACTCCACACAAACAAAGTATCAGCAAAGGAGGGGAAAAAAACTCCAGAGAAGTTCCAGAGACAGGAAATCTAGTCCTGCCAAGAATGTAATAAGGGTTAACAGAGAGGCAGTTTCTGTAAGCAACACCAGAATATTTACTTCCTGCCTTCCTTACAGGATTAGGTCAGTAATTTCTTCTAACAACCAGTTCTCCAAATTGCTTAGAATGTTAACAACTGGTTCTACCAAATAGGTGCGAACTGGTAGAATCCCATCCCTGGTAATAGGCCCTTCAAACCGCCTCCCACCTGTAATTAACTCTGTTGTTTTTGCTTCAGTCATGTTGCTTTCCAGCTTGGATTGCTTATCTCTATGAGGTGATGTTAACCTGTCAACTATTGCAATTTGTTGCTTTGCCCATGCAGGCCAATCACAAGGTCACGGGCAAAGCAACAAATTGCAATAGCTGACAGGTTAACATCACGTCATAGAGATAAGCAATCCAAGCTGGAAACCAACATGACTGAAGCAAAAACAACAGAGTTAATTACAGGTGGAAGGTGGTTGGAAGGGCCTATTACCAGGGATGGGATTCTACTGATTCTGTCTACCTCTGTAGAACCGATAGCTCTGAAGAGCAGCAGACATAGAACCGGTTCTATGTCTGCTGATGGTTTTGCCCACCCACCCACCTGGGCTCTTACCTGACCTTTATTTCCTGATTTTTTCAACTTCAGCTGCTGTTCGAGGCACAGCTGCAGTTTAAAAAGCAGGAAAAAAGGGCTTTTTCAAAGGCTGCTTCTCTGCACGCAGCGTACTGATGACGATTTACAGGCGCACGCTAGCAGCGTGCAGGGAAGCACATCGTAAATCATCGAACCTCGTAAATCACCGAACTGGTAGTTAACCCTGTCGGATCCCACTCCTGCCTATTACGCATGCAAGGGCTAAATTGATTAATGATATATAAAGGTTTAGATCTCTGTAATGGTAGTTTATTTTTTTAAAATTTTAAAATAAACTTTACTGAATACAAAAAATTAAAATATACAAATATACAAACTCAAAAGAGAAAGATTCATACAGACAAATGTCACAATAATCTCTGTGCTAAAACTAATTAAACTTTCCTTTAATACATTTGACAGTGAGTTAAATATTTCCTAAATGATATAATGTGGCAGATATTTCTTGCTTCCTATAGGTTCTCTGTTATTTATGTTCTATCAAACATAATGTTCTGTTATTAATGTTTGTTGTTGGATTATACTTATTTATTTTTACTGATAAATTCCTTCTATTGATTGTTTAAAGAACGAGGGAGTCTAAGACTAACATTAACAATTCCTGTTTGTTATTGTATGTGTCATAATCTGTTTCATAAATTTGTTTTCCCCCCTTGATTCCCCTTTTTGGTTTTTTTTTACGTTCTAGCCAATCATAGCACTTATTCCAGATAGAGTAAAATTCTGCCTCTTCTTTTCCTTTTAATTTTAATGTGAGTTTTTCCATTTCTGCACATTCACAATTTTTTTGAATAATAAATTGTATTGGTAGTATATTAGGTGATTACCAGAATTGAGCCAGTGTGAAATATGTGCCGCTGTTAGGATATGGATAATCAAATATTTTACTTTTGAGGGATAACCTTCCTTAATGATACCCAGAAGATACAAATTAGGTTCCACTCCAATCCACCCTGGACAATTTCTTCTAATCAAGTTTTGATTCTAATCCAAAAAATTTTGACCACTGGGCATGTCCACCAGAGATGGAAGTAGGTACCATGATTCCCTTTGCATTTCCAACAAGTTGGATTGGATGTTGGATATATTTTTGCTAATCTGGAGGGTGCTAGATGCCATCTATATATCATTTTATATAAGTTCTCTTTATAAGACACAGGTTTAGTTATTGTAAAATTTCTCTGCCAGATTTCTTCCCAGTCTTCTAAGTCGATATTATGGCTGAAATTTCTTGCCCACGCTATCATTGGTCCTTTCACAATTTCCTCAGCTAATTCATATTCCAATAGATAATTACATAATTTGGATATAATATTTTTATCTGGGCCCAAAAGTATCTTATCAATTTTAGTGCTCTTTGATTCTATTCCGAATTCTTTTAAATCTTTCTCATATCTTATTGCTATTTGGAAATAGGACCAATGATCAATCATTATTTTTGGGTTTTCTAACTCTTGGGTCAATTTGAGCTTTCCTTCTTTGTCTAAAATTTGGTGATATTTCAGCTTTTTACTGATGTCCATTGTATTAGGGTGGAACATTGCTTCCATTGTTGACAACCATAACGGAACTTTAATATAATGGTTTTCCCTAATATCAGCCCAGGTTTTTATCAAAGATTTGCGTAAAGTATGTCTCTGAAAGTATGAGTGACTTTTACTACTCAGGTTCTACAAGAAGGCATGCCACCCTATTTGTAAGCTTTATCCTTCTAATGTTAGAATTCTTTTGTTTTCCAATTTAATCCAATCCTTTATCCACATTAACATTGCTGCTTTATAATAGGTCTCCCAGTCAGGGAGACCAAAGCCACCTCTGCTTTTATTGTCTGGTAAATAAATTTTCTTAATTCATGACTTCTTGCCTGCCCAAATGAATTTCATAGTAATTTTATTCAATTCTTTGAAAAATGATTTATCCAATAATATAGGGATTGTTTGGAATAAATAAAGCAATTTGGGTAGAACATTCATTTTAATTATGGCAATTCTGCCTAATAAAGAAATCTGCATTTTGTTCCATATCTCCAAATCTCTTCCTATTTGTTGTAATAGTTTAACATAATTGTCTTCTTTCAAAGTTATTGTTTTGGGTCTTAACCATATACCTAAATATTTAATCTTATTGACAATTTGTAATCCCATTATTTCTTCTAGTTCTTTTTGTTTATTATTTATTATATTTTTAACTAACATTTTGTTTTTTTCTTTATTGATTTTCAACCCTGCTAGTTTACCGAATTTATCAATTTCTTTTAATAAGGTTGGTCCTGACTCTATTGGATCCTCTATAATAACAACCACATCATCAGCAAATGCCTGTAATTTATATTCTTGTCTTTTAATCTTAGTACCTTTAATTTCCTCATTCATTCTAATTCTGTCCAGTAATGTTTCTAATATTGTAATAAAAAGCAGAGGCGACAATGGGCATCCCTGCCTGACACCCTTTTTTATTTCAAAAGGATTGGTAAATTCTCCATTTATCATTACCCTTGCTTTCTGAGTTAAATAAATCGAATCTAACATCTTTGCGAAGTTATCCCTGAATTTCATCAAGTTTATCTGGGGTTTCATAAATTCCCAGTTTAGGTTGTCAAATGTCTTTTGTGCATCCAGGAAGACAAGAGCAACTTGGCTTCCTGGGTGTGTTTCATAGTATTCTAATATATCAATTATCATTCTTGTATTTCTAATCTGTCTTATGGGAAGGAATCCATTCTGGTCAGGGTGAATTCTTTCATTAAGAATTAGCTTCAGTCTTTCTGCCATCACACTCATAAAAATTTTGTAATCTGTGTTTAAAAGAGATATTGGTCTGTAATTTTTTACCTGGGTGGCATCTGCACCCTCTTTAGGGATCAATATAATATGGGCCTCTTTCCACGATTCCGGGACTCTTGCCTCTAATAATACCTCATTGCAAATCTCTAGGAACAAATTTTCTAGTGGTTCTCCAATCTCTTTGTATAATTCGCTTGGCAACCCATCTGGGCCTGGAGTTTTATTACTTTTTTGTCTTTTAATCGCTTCTTTTAACTCATCTAAAGTTATTTCCTTATTTAATATCTTCCTTTTATCTTCCGTTAATGGCTGTAATGTGCTTTCTTTCAAATATTCCTCTAATTTGTTTGCATCTATTTCTTCTTGGTTATATAAATTCTTGAAATAGTCTCTTGCAATTGTTTTCTTTTTCTCCAATTCCATCTCTAATATCCCATTATTATCTTGCAATTGGTATATAATTCTTTTTTGGTTTTCTTTTTTCAGTTTATACGCTAACCATCTTCCGGGTTTGTTTGCGTATTCAAAGTAATTTTGTTTTGTGTATAGCATTGTCTTAATTAAATCTTCCTGGTCTAATATATTCAATTCATGTTTAAGTAATATCAAGTCATTTTTAATTTGTTTGTCCCCTGGGGCTTTCATTAATTTATCTTCTAAAGCCTTTAGTCTTTTTATTAACAAGTTTTGTTTCTTCCACTTTTCTTTGTTTCTGTTGGCTGTATAGGCTATCGATATACCCCTTCATTGTGCCCCAAAGAATTTGCAACGAGGTATCTTGTTTTTTATTAAACTTAAAAAATATCTCTAATTCTTCCTTAATTTTTTGAGTGTATCCTTTTTCTTTCAGTAGTTGTGGGTTAAGTATCCACCGAGCTTTCTTGTAAGTTTGAATTTTCCAAGTTATTTGCAATGGGTTATAATCTGCCCAAGTGTTGGTTAATATTTCTATATTTTTTATATCCTTGAGTAGATCATTATTCATCCATGCCATATTTAACCTTGACCAGGATTTATGTGGATTGGAGTAGAAGGTAAATTGGGTCACTTCTGGATTCAATTTCCTCCATGCATCTACTAAATCTAGTTCCTCAGCCATATCTAAAAAACATTTAGGCAATGTATTTCGTTTTTTTTATATATATATATTTGATCACTGTTTATTGTTAGAAATTGCATTAAATTCACCAATTATGCAGATCATAGGGTTGCCTAATTGTATTAATTTTGCATATAGAGTTTTATAGAACTCATTGTGATTTGTATTGGGGGCGTATATCACTACTAGTAAGATCTTTTTGTTTTGTATAACCACCTCTACAATTAATATTCTTCCAATCTTATCATTATAAATCAGTTTCGATTCTATTATGCATGCAAGGGCTAAATTGATTAATGATATATAAAGGCTTAGATCTCTGTAATGGTAGTTTATTTTTTCAACTTCAGCTGCCGTTCAAGGCACAGCTGCAGTTAAAAAAGCAGGAAAAAAGGGCTTTTTCAAAGGCTGCTTCTCTGCACGCAGCATGCTGATGACGATTTACAGGCGCGTGCCGGCAGCATGCAGGGAAGCACATCGTAAATCACCGAACCTCGTAAATCACTGAACTGGTAGTTAACCCTGTCGGATCCCACCCCTGCCTATTACACATGCAAGGGCTAAATTGATTAATGATATATAAAGGCTTAGATCTCTGTAATGGTAGTTTAATACTCTGACAATCTCAGCAGAGGCTGACAAAAGCTTAATAAGTATAATAAATATAATAGTTCTAGAGATCATAGATCACAGAATTGCATCAAAATTCTTTTTGTGCAGTATTTTATCCATATACATCAATTTATGTAGATAGAACGGAACAGGGAAGGGCAGAATCAAAAATAACTTAATAGCACATAGTCACTCAAAGTCACAATTATATCAAGATTCTTTGGGTGCATGAGGAATTTATGTGTACATAAAAAGTATGCATGAGCATGCACATGCTTGCACATAGCCACACACTTCCCAATTTGTATTAATGACCTTTAGACCAAAAGTTAATGTCATTAGCCAATTTCAATAATATTAATATGTATTGAGTTCTAGCCATTAAACCAGACATTAACCTCATTTATGATATGGACATACCTAGCATCTGCCTGTAATCTTACCTTTTCTAACATCTTCTGCCAAAACTGCCTCCACAGAATGATTACAATGATAGCCACAAGGATAAAGATGATGGCCACTAAACAGCCAATTAAGATGCGAGTGTTGCTGTCATCTACTTTGAGAGTAGGATCTGTAGAAGAGACAAGGATAATTGTGTAGCATACATTTTAGGTGAAATGATAAAAACAAAGACAGGATAGCCAACTAGCTGCCAATCCTTGTGGGATTCCATTCCTTTCTTCCTCCAAATTACCATTAGTTGTTTACCTATTTTGAAGCAAGTCTTTCTGTCATAAGAATATTGCAATTTCTCATCAGTCATTGATAACATTTCTCTTTCATGGGAGGTGGGTGGCTATAGAATTATACAATTTATATTATAAATTAAATAAATAATAGTAATAGCACTTAGATTTATATACTGCTTCACAGTGCTTTACAGCCCTCTCTAAGCAGTTTACAGAGTCAGCATATTGTCCCTAACAATCTGGGTCCTCATTTTACCGACCTTGGAAGGCTGGAAGGTTGAGTCAACCTTGAGCCTGGTGAGATTCAAACTGCCAAACTGCTGGTAACCGGAAATCAGCAAATTTAGCATGCAATATGGCATTCTAACTGCTGTGTCACCGCCACCACATAATAATAATATATAATAAATCATTTATTAACTAGAAAGATACAATTTTCTCTTACCATGATAACAGTTTTTTAATGTGATTTTTTGAATTAAATAGATGACAATTACTGTACCCAATCTATCACATAAATAACAGCTGGATAACCCACCAAGCATAACGAGACTTTCATGAATATCTAAATTAGTCTAATCATGCTAACAGAGTGCTGGTGTTAGTATTAATGATGATCTAAAAACAGAACAGTATCTTTCAAAATGTTCATTTTTATGTTCATTGTTTGAAGCATAATTTCAGGTACTATTTTTATTTTTTAAATCCAGAAGCAATTGGGGCCAAGGCACTTGACAAACCATGCTTTACTACATAAAATTGCCCTAAAATTAAGATATTTTTTTTTAGTGGGGAAGTGTGTGCCTTTGAGTCAATTTTTGACTCCTTGACAACTGCAGTTTTCCTGGCAAGGTTTTTCAGAAGTAATCTGCCAGTATCTCCTTCCTAGGGCTGAGAGAAAGTGACTGGCCCATGGTCATGCAACTGGTTTTGTGCGTAAGGTGGGATTAGAATTCACAATCTTCCAGTTTTTATCCTGATGCTGTAAGTATTGCACCAATCTGATTCCCAAGATAATGTCTGGAGACCCTTATCTGGCTACTAGATTTTGAAGATAATGGCAGCGATCATTGCAGTTAAAAGTTTTGTTGTTTTAGTTTAGCACTGGAAGATTTCCCTCAAGGATTGAACCTTTGTTATTCATTTGGCACCAAAAAGACCTTTTATTATTAAATTTTGAAATCTTTTATGGGTTGTCTATGTTTTACTGTGGTTTTTTTTAATTTGAACAATTCTATCTTCCAGGAATAAAATGGAGGTATACAAAGGAGCTGCATGAAAAACACATGACTTCCCTCCTCAATTTCAGTCCTGGGAAAAGATGCTAAACCACCCTCCTCCATTTTGTTTCAGATTCTTTTCTCAGCAACTAAATCATTTGTCATGCTGGAGGCAGGCCCAGGCGGCATGGAGAAAGTTAGTCTCTCCTTAATCCTAGGAATGTACTGTATGATGTCACAATTGAAGGAAATAGATTTGTAAACTATCTCTATAACACTGTGCTGTTTCTTTACATTTAATTTGTTAAGTATTTGATATTTTATTTACCTATCAGTAGTAGAAAACCTCTGTCTAAGGGCTATAAACCTTTCACTGCAGGAAGGGTTCTCAAGAGAAAGATGTATTTCCTTACAGAGGTGTGGAAAGTTACTACTGAAGGCATCAGAAATAGTAAAGAACAGAAGCAAAATAGAAGTGAAAGACTGAAGGTGGTAAAGAAAAAGGTTTTGAGAACCTAAATGACAAGGATTTAAAAAGTTGGAATCCAGAAATAAGAATGAGAAATTCCTTTTTTGATTTAAAAAAAACCCTTGTAAGTTTGTATGTTTTCATATCTGTACTTCTTTAATACATGGACATTGTTCTATTTTTATTTTGTTAAGTTTTTTTCTGGTTTTATAAACATTACCCTTTTATTATTTAGTTTTATACACAAACATGCACACTAAATAATTGCACCTTCAGTGTCTCAATGACATTGAATCTGGGAATATCTCTTAAGTACCATTGAAAAGATAGCCTGGACAACTAATTATTTTTCCTGCAATGTTGCACGTATCAAGCTAACACAAGAGAGGTGAACACCTTTTGAGGCTGGTACTGAATGTTGGAAATGTAAGAAAGTTCATTGATTGTTATAACCACAAGTCAGAACATATAGCATACCATATACTAAGAAAGTGCTATGAGTGCTTCTGAAAAAGGGCTGCCAAGGAGGACATACCAAATTCCAAATTTAGAAAAATATTTCCAATTTAGAAAAATATTCCCTTTCACCTCCAATAGCATCCACTCTGGCCAGAAGAATCCTGCTATGGGGGCGGGGGTTGGATTCTGTATATAAACACACACATACAATTTTTGTGGCACTCAATAAAAATACATTTATGAATATTTGCTTAGAGACCCCAACAGAGGGAGGGTGGAGCTGGTGTCGCAGCGGTGTAATGCACAATCTTGATTCTCCAAGATCTCAGTCGATATCTTCACTGCTGGACGGTCCCGACAGACCTAAACCGTCCCGTAGAGACGGTGATCGATAAGGGCACGTCCTGTCGATCCAATGGACATCGCAAAGTCCCTGGTTGATCCAGGAAAAGCCCTTTTGCTGGCAGCGGAGAGGCAGCCATTCAAGCTGCTGAAGCTGGGACAGCTCCAGAACAGAAGAGATTGAAAGAAAGTGTGTCAGTTTGGTGAGATGAATTTTTACTTATTATTTTTTGAAGAGAACACCCTGAAAGTTTTAAAGTGAAATTAAAAGTGAAGAGAAAAGAGTTTAAGCAGCGAAATTAAGCTAGTTAAAGTGAAAGTTATTTTCCCCTTTTTATTGGAACTTTGAATTAGGCAAAGCTTCTTACTTTCAAACTGGACTGGTCTCTTTTAAATTTTCTATTTTTGCTTTTATTTTCTTAACAATTTTTTTGAAAGCCTGTTTTGATTAAGACTCTTCTTTTTGATTTGAGATTTACTTTTTTTTTTTTAAAGGAAGGATTTCATTTTCTCTTTTTGTTCCTGGCACTGGATACATGAGGGGGGAGTGAAAGTGAAGGGAAAAAAAGTAGCACTACCATCTAGAGGCTTGGATATATTGTTTCTTTTTTCTTCCATTTGTTTATGTATTTGTGCTATACTCAAGGACTCTGAGCTTTGCACTGGAAAAGATAGTGGGATGAGCATGGCAGATTGTTTACACAGGTGCCTATCTGTGAAACTATAGATAACTAGAGTCTGGAGTTGAAGTTGAAAGAAAGAAGAATGAAGTGACCTTGAAAATACTGGAATTAAAAACTTTGAGTTGATTTATTAAAGAGCTGTGGATATTTAGTGGCAGTGGCTGGTTTTACATTAGAACTGTTTGTTACTTTTCACTTCCCTTTTTACTCCCCCTCCAGTCAGATTTTTATATTTGGATTTCAACTTTTTATTCCAGGAACTAGAATGTAATTTTTTTATTCTTTTTTGCTCTCTTCTTTTTCTCCTTCTTACTAAGATAAATAATTGGATTAAGGTATACAAGTGCCTGAATACTTTTTTCCCTTATTTTTTGGAGTGGCAATTGCCTGCCTGTGCTCTTTTTTTTTCCTTTTTCCTTTTCTCTTTTTTCTCTTTCTTTCTTCACAGATAAGTACTACAAGATGAGCAGAAAGACAACAGCCCCAGCTTCCTCAATACCAATAGCCTCTTCACCATCTGGAGGACAATGGTCAATACAGACAATCTTAGAACAGGAGAAAGAGAAGGAGCTGACATTACAGATAATTATGCAAGGAATTCAGAAGATTGAAAAGAGAATGGAGAATATTGAGCAAAGAACTGAAAAGACAGATGAAAAAGGAGAAAATATTCAACAGATGATAATGAAATATGAAGACAGATTCCAAAAAATTGAAGAAGATATACAAAGGGACAAGAAAATTGGAGATATTGATACTCGATTGAGCGATGTCAAGAAGGGCATGTGTGAACCATTAGGATGGGAATTCTACTTAAGATTTCAAAATGTAGAAGAAGGAAAAGGTGAAAATCTTGCTGAAATAATGACAGAAATGCTGGCAGAAGCATTAGAGATAACCAAAGAGAAAATGATGGATGGGATGGATGAAGTGTTTTGGGTCTATACAAGATATGCAATGAGAAACAGACTACCAAGAGAAGTTTACATCAGATTTACTAAAAAGATCATCAAGACATAGATACTGCAGGTGGCAAGAGAGAAAACATTAAAGTATAAAGACAAAGAAATTGTGGTACTGAAACAGGTACCAAGAAGAGTAAGAGAGATGAGAAGAGAATACTTATTTTTGACCAAAGAGTTACTTAAAAGAGGAGTAAACTACAGATGGTTGATGCCAGAAGGACTCTTGTTCACCTGGCAGGAACAAAGACACAGAATTGACACAGTTGAAAAAGCTGAGTTATTCTACTTAGAATATCTTAGAGGAAAGGAGGAAGAAGCAAGAAAGGAAGAGTCATTAATTGAATTCCAGGAGGAGTGTATAGCAGTAATTGAAAAAGAAAAAGAGGAAGGTGCAGTAGGTAGTGTACCCAGAGAGCAATGAGAATTAAGATTTACTAGAGCAATAAACCTCCACACACACAAAGCCTAACATGGATGAAAGAAAATTGATTACGATTGACATAAATGGACTTAATTTGCCTACCAGAAAGAAAGAAAGAAAGTATTTCACAAATTAGAGAAATTAAAATTTGATATAATTTGCCTACAAGAAGTACATATCAAAAAACAACATGAATATATATTGAAACAAAAAAAATTAGGGAAATTATTTACATCGCTGGCACAGTCTAAAAAAAGGGGTGTGGTATTGTATATTAAACATACAATTTTGGCAGAACTAATTTACACAGATGACGATGGAAGGATTTTGATGGTGGAAATAATGGACAATAATGTTAAAACACTTTTAATTGCAATTTATGGTCCGAATGATGATCAAGAAGAATTTTACAGGAAATTACATATGAAAATAATTTAACTGGACTATGTTAATATTTGTATGATGGGAGATCTTAATGGAATAATTAATGATCGGTTGGACTATGAAACACAGAAATCAACAAAGAAAGTTAGAAAGATACTACCAAAATCTTTCTTTCGAATAACAGAAGAATTTAACTTAAAAGATGCATGGAGAGAGAGAAATGTGGAAAGTAAGCAATACACTTTTTACTCAAACAGGCATGTATCATGGTCTACAATAGACATGATACGGATGTCAGCAGAATTACTGGCTAACATACAAGAGATTGAAATAGAAACAAGCACCTGGGCAGACCATAATCCTGTGACAGTGATTTGGAAAGGATATAAGAGGAGATCTACATGGACTCTAAATAAAACACAATATTAAAAGAAAAAGACTTTAAACAGAAAATAGAGAAAGAACTTGTTTTCTTTTTTAAAGAAAATAGAAAAGAGGATACATCTTTACAGAATCTCTGGGACACGATTAAGGCCTACACAAGAGGCTTGATAATAGACTATACAAGGAAAAGAAATATAAAACAGAAAAAGATTTTCAAAACATTGGAGGATGATTATAAAAGACTGGAAGAAGACCTACAGTAGTCCCCACAAAAAAAGACATTAAAAATAAAATGGATATAATTAAACATAAAATGGGACTAATGGAAAAAGAGGAACTAGCACAAAAAATTAAAAATGCTAAACAGAATTACTTTGAAGATGCAAACAAACCAGGCAGATGGCTAGCCTATAAACTGAGAAAGGAAAGAGAATCAAGAAGGATTAGTCAATTAATAGATGATCAAGGCCAAGCTTGCTATGGAAATAAAGAGAAGAAGAAAAATTATACAAGATTACTGTGGAAAATTGTATTTTCAAGAGAATATTCAAGAAGAAAAAGTTAAGCAGTATTTACAGAAAGTGAATTTACCCCAGATACCTAAAGACACTGAAACAATGCTAGAAGGGAATACAATGTCAACTGCATATAAAGAAAATTTGTATAAAATATAATATAGACATATATAACCATTGGATGAAAGTATATAAATTTTAAAACAAAATTTTGAATATTTCTTATAAAATGATGGAATAAATAGTTCAGTCATGGATGATTAATAACTGATAAATATATAAGCATGTTAGTTTGACAATGTGAAAATTGATATAAACTGGGAGTAATGACTACAAAAGGATAGCACAAAAGATTTGTAACCAACTGACACACTGTATGTATATAAAATGGAAGATGGTTTTGTTTTTATGTTTTGTTTGTATATGTTTGTCTTAAAAAATAAAAACTTTTTTTTTTTAAAAGAGACCCCAACATAGCAACATACATACCATAGATAGTGGGAGTCACTGAAGATTCAGGTAGGGCTCCAGAATTGTTGTACATAGCTGTATCTAAGAAAAATGAAGAAAGAAAGAAAGAAAGAAAGAAAGAAAGAAAGAAAGAAAGAAAGAAAAGCATTAGTCATATTCATAGCATAGTAGAGACAATTGCAAACTTTTGCTTTAAAACAATGATCTGACTCCAGTATGTTGGATATCAGATCCAAAGCTGTCTGTTTCAAACTGCATTTGCATTTGCAATGAATATGCTTGTTAGAAAAAGAAGGCATAAAGGTATAAGTGCACTGGATATAAATCTAATGTTTTCTTCAGGCACCAGCAAGGACCATGCATTATTACTGATAACAATATCCCACTTTTCTAAGTATTTGCTAACTGAAGAGAATATGCAATCAAAAATAAAATAAATCTAGCAAGCTGATTTCAAATACAGTATAATCCATACAAACCAGTGATGGGATTCAAATAATTTAACAACTGGTTCTCTGCCCTAATGACTGGCTGGGTAGGCGTGGCTGGGTGGTCATGTGACTGGTGGCCGTGGCCAACTTAACATCATTCATGTTGAAGGGTACCTCTCCTCGCCCAGCCTCTCCTTGCCTAGCCTCTCCTCGCCACGCCTGGCCACACCTGGCCCCTTCTCTCACAGCCACTCCTTGTCACACCCAGTCGCTCACCTCACTTGTGGAGTAGTTTTAAAATAAAAAAATGTTTGCCTTGTGCAAATAAATAACAAACATCTTGACTTCAGGTTTGAGGCATCTTGCAGAGCATTAGTACTCATTCTAGTCTCCTTTCCTACTAACAGGTCCATCTCAGATTGTAATTTGCCAAAACTTCTCTTTTGTCTTTTGCATCATTCTATGGGATTATTCTGAAATATTAACTGTGATGTTTCCAGCTTTACAAGTTTGTTTCCTCCAACCTTGTTTTTGCATGCAATTCTTGTTTTTTTTTAAAACCAAGTTTTATTAATTTTTTCAAAAACAAACAAATCATCATTAACCATTACATACTTAAACCTTTTTCCATTATAAATTTAACAAGTCAGATAAAACCTTAATTCTATTTTAAACCATTTCCATAAAGCATACAAAAACCTCTTATCCAGTTTCTCTTTACCTCTCTTTACTCTTATTCAGTTTCATTATTATTGTTTCATCTATTTCTTTCTGACTTGACCACCATCATTCCCATTCTATACTTCTGCAAGGTTCCACTAATTCTCCCAAAAACATAAACACACAACACATATAACATAAAAGAAAAACAAAAAAAAATCTTTTAGGAAAGTAACTTGGCCCCAGATATCTCTCTCTTCATGAACTTCAATTATATTCATGCTCATCTTACATATCATTACTTATTTTATCTACCATTCTAAATCTTCTATATTAACTTCTCCACACATTTCACTCTTCTTAATTCTATTTTAATTAATCCATCTTAATTTGAATCATTACATTTATATCTTTTGTCCATTCTTTATTGTCCCTTATAATAAAAAAAAAAAGAGAATTTCTCCTGAAATCACTAATCAGAGTATGATGCCTTTCTGTCTCCCCTCTAAATTAATCAAATTAACATTTAAAATAACACCCAGTACCCAATCCGATTCTGCTTGGTACATTCTATCTAAATAATAAATCCAAAATAATTAAATACATAGTTAAACAGTAAATCTAAATGTTGAATCTTATAACATTCCCATTGTCTTTTCCAAAAACAAATGCTATAATAAAAATTTTATAATAACATCAATATCATAATCTTATTAAACTCTTTAATTAAAACTCAATATTCTAAACCTTCCCTTTAATATTATTAAATTTAAAATCAATCATTACTAAACATTTCAACATTTTAATCTTTTATCAACTCTTAAACCATTTTAATTTTCTATTTCTAATACAATGCTACAATATCATCTTATGTACCTTGCAAAACCTTTTTTAAAGAATTTATACTTTACCCTTTATCCCTAAAAAAGATTCCTTTTTTCCCATCTAATTTCAAAACTTTGTAGCTTTTCTCCACCATTTTCCTTCCTTTCTTCCCCCACCAAACCTTTCTACCCCAAATTCTTCTAGCCTCTGCCTTACTGGCTTCCCTTCTCTGTTGTGTTCCTTTTCCCTTTTGTTTACTATCATTATGTTGATTTTGCACCTTATTTTTTCCCTTCTTAAATGTTTTTTTAGATCTTAAGTCCTTCATTTCTCTTCCTTTCCCTCTTCCTTCTTTCTTGGTTAAATTCTGAAATTCATTAAAGATGGCTTCTTCCTCTCCTTCTTCTTCTTCTGCTGTCTTCATCTGCTGTAATGTTTGTTGATAGTTAGCAAGCGCCATTTCTAAGAAAAGGAAGGCTTCCCTCACAGCATCTCCACCATTTTTTTTGTTTGCTCATATTCTTTTCTCAGTTCCTCAACAGAAAAAGCCATTATAAATCTTTTCTTTTCTTTTCCCCTTCTTTCTTCCTACAACAACCAAGATATTTCAAAAAAAAAAAAAAAACAGTCCCAAAGTTATCAATCAGTCCAAGCCAAGGCAAAGTTCTCACTTTCTCTTCCTGGGGTAGTATCAATCAGAAAAAAAGAAAGTACAAATCTGTTTCTTAAAGTCTTATTGCAATATATTTCAGTCTTCAAATCCTTAAGGCATCTCCTCCAACAGTCTTAGCACACAAATATTTTTTTAGTCCTCTCCCTTCTCACTTATCACTTAAAGCCAGTTTTTACCTTAAAAAAATAGGTTTCTTAATATCCACTTATTAAATCTGTAGAGAAGGAGAGTAAACTTTCCTTTCAGCACCACCAAGCTGCCGCTTATTTTCTCTTCTAGAAGGTATCATTCAGAAAGCCATAATTTCCAGGAGTTTTGTTAAGTATATCTTAGAGTCCCGGGGACCAAGAAAAACTTTCTCTTTTCAAAAGCTTTCTCCACTTCCTCCTGCGCATTCTTACCCGGCTGCCAGCTTCTTTGTGGTGGCCATTGCAGACCGCCGCTGCACCGTCTTGGGAAAAGGGGGTTCTGCCGGCCGGGGAGGGGGTCTGCAACACCCCCAAACCCCTTCCCGGATCCCCCCTATCTTCAGCTACCCCTGCAGGGTAGCCTAGCTCCGAACCCGTCCGGATCGGAGCACCAAAAACGGCTAGCGCGGCAGGGATCGCGCAGAGTCGCAAATCCCTGCCGCTCGCGAAGCCGACAAACCGGAAGTTCTGTTTTTGCATGCAATTCTTACATGTTATTTTGACATTCCTTCCTCCTCTTTAAACAAAGTAGTAGTTAAGGTACTGGCCTAGAAACCAAGAGACTCTGAGTTCTAGTCCCATTTTAGGCTTGAAAAAAATGGCTGACTAACCAGTCACTCTCTCCCAGCCCAAACTACTTCTTAGATTGTGGTTGTGGGGAAACTAAGAGGAGGAAGGAATATTAGGTAGGTTCTCCACTTTGAGTTCCTTATAAAGTAATAAAGGCAGGATCTAACAAAATAAATAAATCATTTGTGAGAATGATGTCCTTCTAAAGGAGAAGGGGCACTGACTGCCTTGTCCCATGCCTTACACTATTGCATTTATTTCATTTTTATCCAATTTATTTTTCTCTACTTTTTGGTTTATTTTAAATGATGGCAAAGCCTGTGAAATTCTTACCTGTTTCACATGTCAGGGTTATGTGCAGTGGTGGGATTCAATTTTTTTTACTACCGGTTCTGTGGATGTGGCTTGGTGGGCCTGGCAGGGGAAGGATACTGTAAAATCTCCAGTCAGAGGTGGTATTTGCCGGTTCTCTGAACTACTCAACATTTCCACTACCAGTTCTCCAGAATGGAGGTAAACTCGTCCATGTGACTTACAGGCAATGGCAGCAGAAATCATTAGGCAGCTACATTAAGACCGAAAGGTGGAGGCACCAGGGTGCAAAAAGCAGAGGATCTCAAGGAGAAGAGAACTGAGACATCCACTTTTCATCAAACTGGCACAATCTAGTCAACTACAGAAAGGTAGGAAAGTCAACCATGCCTCTTTTATGTGCTCTTTCCACTGGAAATTTTGAGGTTGTTTCAAACTGACAGTGCAAAAGTTGCCCCAGCCCTACAATGATCTTTCACTTTTTATCTAGAGGAAGTGCTGACAGGATTTAAAAAGCAAATTCAACCATGCCCATTTTTCCATTTAATCAATTTTGCCAAACATCTCCCCAACGCACAATAAAATAGCCTTGTTCCAATATTTGAGGGGCTCCTACAAAAACGGGGGGATCCGTCTATTTTCCAAAGGCACAACAAGAAACAATGGATGGAAACTAACTAAAGAGAGAAGCAACCTAGGACTAAGGAGAAATTTCCTAAGAGTGAGACCAATCAACCAATGGAATAGTTTGCCTTCAGAAGATGTGGGTGCTCCATCACTGGAGGCTTTCAAAAAGAGATGGGACAACTATTTATGTGAAATGATATAAGGTCTCCTGCTCTAGCAGGGAGTTGGACTAGAAGACCTCTGAGGTCCCTTCCAACTCTATTACTCTATGTTCTCTATGTTCTAAATTGGGTGCTTCACAGCAGAAGCAATACAGCAGGCTGGACCACACATGCATTACATTCAGGGTCTATATGATGAAGCTTGTTAGGGTTTGAGGAATTAACCCCTAGCAGAGTATTGCAGCAGTAG